ATGGTTAACTTTTTGAGATGTGAGAATGATACTGTTTTTTTGTGGTTTTTTTTTTTTTTTTTTTTTTTTAAGCTTTTATATTTAAGAGACTCCTCAGGCGTGGTGGCACATGCCTGCAGCCCCAGCGCTCTAGGAGGCTGGGGGAGGAGGTCGGCAAGTTTGAGTCTGGTCTGGATGATTTAGTAAGAATCTTCAGTAAAAAAACACACAAGTGTGGATGTAGTTCAGTGCAGAGGCCCTGGTTTCGATCCCCAGCACTGCAAAAACCAAAAATGAGACTCATTCTTAAGTATAATAGGTGGAAATACGGTGTCTCCTTCATGAACCAGGGCTCGGGGTGGGACCTAGAGCCAGCAGGGCCTCCTCAGCTTGGCTTCCAGACACGACTCAGGCCGACGGGGAGGCCTCACTGCCAGCAGTAGGGTCCTCCTCGAACTTCCCTCCATACAGCAAAGCTCTGACCTCTGCTGTCAGGCCATCCTGGGGAGACCTTGACAGTCCTCCCACCACTGCAGCCCCAGCCGCTGCAGCGAGCCCACGACTGGGCGTGGAGCTCTGGCAACCACTTATGTCTTACGCTTCCTGAGGTTGGGGAGCTTGGAGCCAGGTGCAGTGGACAGGTGGGTGCAGCCAGGTGCAGTGGACAGATGGTGGAGCCAGGTGCAGTGGACAGACGGGTGGAGCCAGGTGCAGTGAACAGATGGGTGCAGCCAGGTGGAGTGGACAGTCGGTGGAGCCAGGTGGGGAGGACAGACGGGTGCAGCCAGGTGCAGTGGACAGAAGGGTGGAGCCAGGTGCAGTGGACAGACGGGTGCAGCCAGGTGCAGTGGACAGATGGGTGCGGCCAGGTGGAGTGGACAGACGGTGGAGCCAGGTGGAGTGGACAGACGGGTGGAGCCAGGTGCAGTGGACAGAAGGGTGGAGCCAGGTGCAGTGGACAGATGGGTGCAGCCAGGTGCAGTGGACAGACGGGTGCAGCCAGGTGGCAGGTTCTGCATCTTTATAGCAGATTTGAGGCACGGACCAGGTGACATTCCACTGTCACCTACTCTGGCCCATCTCTGAGTTCCTTGGACAGTGAACTGGCTGGTACTGGCTGTACAGTTGCCCACAGATGCCCATGGCTACGTCTGAGGTATGATGTAGGGTTCTGGGTGGGGAGAGGATGGGTCACTTCCTAAGCGTGTCCAGGGCTTAAGGCTGCACAGAAAGCCCCAGTTTCTCCCTGCCTTAGGTACTGGGCAGGGGACAGATGTGTTGTGGGGGGGGTCTCTGAAGAACTGGCAGGCTTCCATTTCACAAATGGGAAACTGAGGCTCAAAGAGTGAGAGCTCTTGGAGTCACAGGAGAGTTAGGGTCAGCGAGCTCGGTGGCAGGAGGCAGGCTGTCTCTCCCCCATCCCCCGCCCTTGGCACTCTGCCCACCAGGAGGAACTGGTCACCCGGGTCCTTAGAGCATGTGCACTGGTCCTGACCCTGGCAGCTGGTATCCGAGGTGAGTGGCTGAGGCCTCTGGCTTTTGGAGGAGACCCAGTGAGGGTACCCTGGGCAAGAACTCAACTGACTGCTGTTGAGACCCAAGGGAGACAGCAGAGAGGACTGTTAGGACAAGGCAGTGCAAAGACTGCGGGGGAAGCCACTCGCTCCATTACCCTCTGGATCCCCCCAGGTACCAGTCGTGGAATGGGGCGCTAGGACTTTGGTGTTCAAGGGGAAGCTGGGGGGGGGGATAGGGACAGGCTTCTGTGACCAGCGGGCTTTCCAGCGGGCGCGACTCTAGTATCCCAGAAAAGCCTGGGGGACCACCTGCCTCCCGGTCCGGGCCCACCCGCCCTCTTATGCCCACCAGTCCCCACGCATGTTCCCGCCCCACCTTCCTCCCCGCTGAGCCACCTGGCCACAATCCCAGGGGGGCGCTGGGCCAGGCAAGCTCTTATTCTACTGAGCTATCTCCCCAGCCCTTCTCCGAGCTGACTTTGAACTCACTGGCCTCGAATTTGAGACCTTCAGCTTTGAGACCTTCAGACCTCTTCTGGGCGCGCTGGGGCGAGACCCGAGGGGAGGAGCCGCGAGGCCCGAGCCGCGCGCCCGCAGCGACACCCAGCGGCCGACTCGGGAAGTGCGGGGCGCGCTCGACTCGCAGGTTAAGCTGCGCAGCGCGAGGTCGGGATGGCTAGGCGTGCGCGCCCGGGGATAGAGCTCCGGGTTCCCGCCCTTCCTTCCCCGGCCGGGCTGCGCCGCCTGGAGGCCCTCCCCGGTCGGCGCGCAGAAGCGGGGTGCTGTGACCCCTGCCGCACTCCCAGTTTCACTTCTGGCCGCGCCGCGTGGAGACCCCAGTGGACCCCGGTGGGGCGGCGCCCGGGACCCCTGGGTGTCACGCGACCCCACCGTTCCCCACCCTTCGCCCCCGCAGGTCCCACCCGGATCCCAGCGGGCTGCGACTCCTAGGCCGCGACGGCGTGGGCGGCGCGAGTGCGAAGCCGCAGGTGGGGCCCGGGGCGCCGGGCTGTTTCTCAGAAGCGGGGCCCCGCCCCTCGCACCCCTCGGCGCCCACCGCCGGGGCCTCCTGTTTTCCGGGGGGCGGGGCGAGCCTGCGGCACCTGTGTCCCTAGCTTCTGGTGGCCAGATGGGAACCTGGGGCGACCTCTTGGGAAACCGGCGGGCCAAGCTGGGGGCAGAAGCAGGGCCCAGTTTCTGCCGCTGGGGGAGGTCAGGAGCCGCCGGGACCCCAGCGAGAGGAAAGAGGGCGCCCTTCAGCGCCGCGGCCCGGGGCAGGAAAGCAGAGTTCTTGGGGTCCCCAGAGGCGGCAGGACTGGGACCGGATCCAGGAGCCTACAGACGCGCGGAGCTCAGCGCTGGGCTT